GAATCTGTGTGCCCATGTTGTCTTCGTTGATGAGTTCCTGAAAAATATGTCAGTTGGATACTGCAGTAGAGAAAAGGCTTCAGCTGACATCGGACTTGTTCATGACTAATATGGTCTTGTTCGCTCCTTTGAGGTGGATCGATCGATCAATGTATTCATCATGCAGGACACTGGTTTGCAGTCGAGAACATGGCGCAACCACCATCTCAAAGTCAGCCTTCCAGCGGAAGTTGTTGATGACGCCTTCACGCAACTGACTCATATCACCATATCCTATTCTCGTTAGCTTAACGTCGTCCCAAAATACCCATTGACTTACCTGGCAAGTCGAAGAGACGTAAACCATGCCGAAATAGTATGTGACCAGTCGCGATGGTTACAACCTTCACGAACGGCCACAGCTCCTTGATCTTGCTGGTTTTTCTCCCAAGCCTGTTGTCAGGAACGTTCTTGAATTGTGCGGTCCGAGTTTCAAGGTCCACCTCGCTCATCTCTGTGGCAAGTTGGGCGAATCGATCATTGGCGCGTTTGCAACACTCGTTCAAGAAGTTTCCCTCTTTGATGTTCGTGTGATAGAGTTCCCTCTCAAGCTCGACACCTGCCAGCTTATCTTTCTGCACATCAAAGATGATCTCGAAAAACTCCTTGGCAGTAGTGATCGCACGCGACATCGTCTTGGACAACCTTTTACGTGGCGTTTGAGTAGCATTATTGTCGTCAGGATCGTCTTCGTCTTCGCCTCGGAGGGGCTGGCGATTATCCTCAACGCCAGGGTAGACCTCGACCCAGTGATTCATTTGTTCCTTGATAGAATCTCTGATCTCCTGTTTGGTGAAAAACACAACTAGAAGATCGCTCAGAGTGGTGTGGTCGGTAGCTCCGGGCTTATACTCAAGTACCGTTGCATAAGCGGTGCATGCTTTTGACGAACCCGATCGATCCAGAAGGCCTCGATCGAGTAGTGCGTTGATGATGGAGCTCTTACCGATGCCTTGCTCGCCAAGTATTGCCACACTGTAATGCCTGATGTCAGGTAGTTTCCTTGCGATTTTTGCTGCATCAATCAGATCCTGGAAGCGTTGGTCGACGGACGAATACTTCTGCATCGCACTCGTGAGCTTGTCGCACAATTCTTCGACCAAGACCTTGACTTCCGGGTGCTTCAAGGCATACCAACGGTCGTTGCCAAGTTCTTCGTCAATAGTCGCATTGTGCATGGCGGTAAGGTCCCGTTTCTGGGAAGGTGTTTGGCTCCGACCAGGCGGTCTTGTTGATGCTCGAAATGCCATCGTATCTTGGAGGCTATTGTACGATTTGGATCAGGAATAACTTGCCCAATCGAGCCGAAAGAGTATTGGGTGTATCAATAATTCAATAGAAAGTATGGTCGAGATGAGAGAATGGTAGAGGAGAAGAAGAAGGAAGCTTGAGTTGAGAGAGCTTAAGTAGCGTCCCCCGAGGGATGAGATACAGCCCGATCTCAGGATGAGAGGTGAGAGAAGGGACGTGTTCCGACTCATGATGCCCTTTACTTACCATGTTCGATATGCTCTGAGGTACGTACAGGTGAGTGAGGGATTAGAAATTCTCCGCACTCTCGCCGGAGAGTAAGGTTGGTCATGACAAGCGCGTCAGTCAGAATTGGCAGGAAACTGGAGAAAGCTGCAGTCTCAATGACTGTTGCATCAGTCAAAAATAAAGACATCTCTATGCTGGTAGCGAATGGGTGCTGAAGCATGTCTGTCTGTGAGCAACCAAAGCGGCTAACATGATACTAACAGAGCCCGTTGACCGACGGTGTGCAAGGACCGAATACGTGTCGTACGTGAAAGTCGCACATCTTGATGCAGGTCAGGTGGTGTCTTTGAAGTGGATGGTGGAGACATTGGTTGATTGGCGGCAGGTTCAGCGTTCCTGCATGGCTTGGCAGACGTTGGGCGGGCAGTGATTCGGCTGGCGTCATGCCGAAACCAGTTCTGGCGGAATTTTGCGGGCTCAAAGCAGGTTACATGCTCCGTCATGCTTAACGCATTCCCATGGGCGACGGTGGGCTTTGCGCACTTCCCCATGTGCCAGGCTCGCACGGCACCTCCATCCCACTCTCTTTGCCCTTTCTGACTCAATTGCGTGCATGGCCGGCTATAGGAACACGCGCAACCTGGGCCACCGATGGCTGCGGGGGACGCGTCGTGGGTAAGCTAGCACACCACCCATTGTATGCCCCTGCTAATACCACCAGCCTGCACACGAAGCACCCGCTCTCCCAGCGATCCAAGGCTGCTACCCTCGGCCTGCGGTACGGCCCTCCGTGTCTCCTCGCGACTGCTGCGACTGGCTATCTCTCTTCTGCATCGTCGCCGTACCCACTCTTCCGTCCCATCCATCTAGACGCGCCTTCCCTCAAGCGATACTTCTTCGGCGGCAATGACAAACAAACCGAGACCACTTCGGTCGGAGACGCCGAGAGGCAGGTGAATGAGGAAGGCGAGCACAAGTCAGGTGAGCAGGAGGCGCCATCGCAGACGCGTGTTGCCAAGGGCTACAGCGAGGAGGACGAGGAAGCCGGCCAGAGCAAGTCAGCCTGGCAGACCATCACGAGCAAGTTCCCCGCCTCCCCGTCACCTTCCAAGCTCGGCGACACCATCATCGACTACATCGTGCCGAATTGGGTCAAGGTCCTCCCTGGCTTCATCCGCAAACTCCAGGATGAGCTCTCCATGGCACCGGGCTCGCTCGCCGAAGAGATATGGTACGAAGCCAATGATCCCGAGATCAACCCCGAGATAATATGGGATGCCTCTGTGAGGGTCTCGGACGAGCTGTGTGAGGAAGAAAAGGCTTTCCTGAAGCAGAGGGCGCAGTTCACCAAGGCCGCACTTGCTCGATACCTCGACATTCCCGAAGCGCAAATACATCCCGACGACGTGCCCGTTATTGCCATGTGCGGTTCTGGCGGAGGGTTGCGTGCGCTCGTGGCAGGCACATCGTCATACCTCTCCTCGAAAGAACACGGTCTCTTTGACTGCGTCACCTACACGGCTGGTGTCAGTGGTAGCTGCTGGCTACAGACTCTCTACTACTCGGACCTCACCCAGCGCAGCCACGCTCGCATGATCAGACACCTCAAGAACCGCCTCGGTGTGCACATTGCCTTCCCGGCCGATGCGCTTGAACTACTCGTCAGCGCGCCCACCAACAAATATCTCCTGAGCGGACTTGTCGAGAAGGCAAAGGGCATCCCAGATGCCGACTTTGGACTGGTGGACATCTACGGCGCACTGCTCGCCGCCCGCCTGCTCGTACCAAAAGGTGAACTCTCTGTTAGCGAGTACGACTTCAAGGTTTCGAATCAACGACGCTATACCGACAACGGAGCACATCCACTACCCATCTACACTGCGGTACGGCACGAGATACCGCTCGCCGAGCAAGGGAACACAACAGACCGCATTGCAGCCGAAGCAAAGGCAAGAAAAGAGGCTTGGTTCCAATGGTTCGAATTCACGCCGTACGAGATGTGGTGCGAGGAGCTCTCTTCCGGCATACCTACCTGGGCAATGGGCCGTCAGTTCGAAAATGGACGCACAGTCTGGCGGGAGAATGGCCTGGCTCTGCCCGAAGTGCGCGTTCCGTTGCTCATGGGGATCTGGGGATCTGCCTTCTGTGCGACCCTCTCACACTACTACCGAGAGATCCGACCCCTCATGCGCAGTATCACAGGTCTCGGCAGCAGTATAGACGCTATGATCGCTGAGCGCGATGATGATCTCGTCAAAGTCCACCCGATCGATCCTGCCGCTATGCCCAACTACGCGCTCGGTATGCGCGAGCTCCTTCCCCCATCATGTCCAGAAAGTATCTTCGAACAAAAGAACTTCCAGTTTATGGACGCGGGAATGTCCAACAACCTACCCATCTATCCTCTTCTCCGGCCTGGACGCAACGTCGACATTCTCGTCGCTTTCGACGCTTCCGCCGATGTCAAGACCGATAACTGGCTGAAGGTTGCTGATGGCTACGCCCGCCAGCGCGGCATCAAGGGATGGCCCGTCGGCGCAGGCTGGCCCCCAGACGACGAACCCATGGAAGACCTCCAAGAAGATCTCGAACGCGCTCAGGCCAAGACCGAACAACAAGCCCAAACCAAATTCGAAGAAGCCAAGGATAAGAGTGCCGACGAGAACAAGGGCAGCAAGAAGAGCAAAGACCTAGGCTACTGCAACATCTGGGTCGGTACCACCGAGGAACGCGAGTCCGACACCGAGCACCCAATTTCAAAACAAGTAGATGAAGACTGGGAACTCATGCACCCAGCCTCGGGTATCACGGTCATCTACTTCCCCTTCCTCGCCAACCCTAAGGTACCCGGCGTTGACCCAAAGGTCAGCGACTTCATGTCGACCTGGAACTTCGTCTACACACCAGAGCAAATCGACAGTGTCGTGAACCTCGCTCGCGCCAACTACAGTGAAGGTGCCGAACGGACGAAGCGCACCGTCCGCGCCGTATACGAACGTAAGAAAACTCAACGGGAACAGCGGGAGAAGGACGAGCGGGAACGACGGTGGCGGTGGAAGTTGAGCCAGGGCAGAATAGCTGGGCGCCGTGTTGGAGGCGAGAGTGAGCATGGCGATCAGTTTAGCTGATTGACATCTGCATTAACGGATGCCGAATGGAGGTCGTGGCAAGGAGTTCTGGCGGGAAGGTTTTTGGAAACGATAGAGATGACGGACGCATTATACCCACTTGGATCAAGAATGAAAACATTCACGCTTTATCGTATGTTCCTATTGCGGTGAGATGAGATACACGGAAACACGTCTGAATGCTGATGAATGATGGTATTGGGTATCGAGACCTAACAATATGGGTGTTGGGCATATCTAACGATGCGATACGATACCTCTTCCCATCCAAAACCCCAGTCTAAACCACCATGTCAGGTTCTAACACAGCGGCACATAATGTCTCTGTCGCCTTATCCCCTTATCCCCCTCCACCTATATCTGCACCGCCCTTCCCTTTCCCTTCTCACGGCCATCCGCCGTCTTACCCACCATCGACACACCTCCCTGCTCTTGCGCCGTCGCCGCCGCCGTCTCCGTCGGATTCGTAAACGGACACGGCGGCAGTACCGCACCTCCATCTACCGGCTTCTCCTCATCTATCAACGTGGTATCTGTTAACAGCGGCGTATCTAGCTTCGTCTCAACTTCCTTCTGTACTTCCTCGTTCCGAGGCTGTGCCGGTGCTTGGGGTTGGAGTTGGACTTGTGCTTGAAGTTGTGTTTGCACCGGTGTTTGTACTTGGGCTTGGACTTGTGCTTGTGCGTGCGCCTCTGCCTGTGCCTTGAGCATATCCGTCACTTCTTTCGAGTGACCCAAACTGACCATACCACCTCTACCAACCACTCTATTGATCGGCGAGATACTAGCCGCTTTGAGAGACTTGTCCTTTGTCTTATATGGGCCGCGTTTCTTGGGTATGTGGGGTGCTAGTATGGGTTGTGCTTGTGGATGCTGTGCCGGTAGATTCTGTGCCGAAATTTGTTGCGCCGGTACGTGTTGCGCCGGTACGTGTTGCGCCGGTACGTGTCGCGCCGGTCCAGATTGCTGCGAGGTTTGTTGTTGTTGTTGTTGTTCTTGCACAGGCATACGTACACCAGCTAAGTGATCCGTATTCGGCCAAACGGGCGGATCTGGCAGTGTGTACGCGGACAATTCTTGTAGCAGTGGGGACGGTGTGCTATAGCGCTCCCCCATGTCTGAGAGACTGCCTGAGAAACTGCTTTTCGCTGAACCCGCTTTGGTAAAGGGACTCGGTGGAGGGGTCAGAAGTTGTCCGAAGCAATCTAGTAGATAGAATGGGTCTCTGGGGTCTGTAGACATGTATGGATTGTGTGCGGCTGGGTTTGCTTGCCGGGCGAGGCATGGATTTGAGTTTGGGTTGGCTTTCAATTTGTGAAAGTATTCGAGGAGTGGGGCGGCGTCCATGGGACCGGGGGCTAAGGTAGGTTAGGAAGTGTGGCTTTTGATTGTGTGGTCTTCTTGCTCACGTTGATCGAGCGCTGCATATTCAGCGTTGCCTTGTGCGCGGAGGGTGTCGACTTCTGTCTGGTGTTGCAGGACTTCTTGTCGGCGCGCGGGACACTTTTGATAGGGTCAGCTCAGTTATTTCGTGCGCTCGACAAGGCTGGGGGCACGGGTTACTTACTTTATATACTCCTCTCTCGTCGAGTTCCAACAATGTATGGCCTTCCTTGTCACACTTTTGGCATCGCTCTTGCCGCCGCTTTTTAGATGCTTCTTGCCTTTCTGCGGCTTGTCGAACCTCCCGTCCTTCAGCACGTTTTAACAGCTTGCGGGTCTGTCTCCACGAAAGGTGGTTTGGTTGTTTACTTTTACGCTTTTGAGAACGGAAAACCGGGTTAACTTCATCCATTGATTCTGCTACTTCATTATCTGAAGGCTGATGAAACGCCTACCGATCGTTACTACGTTGTACAGTGGGAAGGTGAAACATGTGAGGATGGTGAAATACTTCAGGTCCCGGCAGTGCCTGCCACTCGCCCAACAAACTAACAGGAAGCCTCTGCTGTCTCAAGAACCTGATCGCCCTCACTACTTCGGTGGGGGGAGGCTCATCCGGATCGATGATGGCATTGGAGTATCGTTTTCTGTAGTCTTTGAAGTATTGTGGGATCTCAGCCTCGGTCTCCCATACTGCGGCGTTCTCTGCCATAATCGTATCCAGCTTCGCCTTGGAGAGGCCCAGGATGCAGCATACGGGGTAGAAGCGACTGATATAGGTGCCGGGAATGAAGTCGTCCTTTATCTGCTCGATGATGGTCTGGCGTAGTGATGTCCATAGAGATTCGAATGTGACCTCCATTGTATGTTAGCCTCATGAATAATTGCAGAGCCTACATCAAGATGGAAACATGCAAAGTAGGCGGTCTAAGGCCAACGTCGGCTCCAGGGTGTTCAGTTTTCACGTACCTTGGAATCGACCATCTTAGGGTCCCAGCGACGCCTCAAGGCCACATACCAGGGATCTTTACCCGCCTCGTATTCAATCTTGAAGTGGTCTTTGATGTGTTCCATGCGCGTCTTGTCGCCGGTCTCGATAGCCGCCATCAGCTCTCTCATACCATGACCCGAGAATTTCGGGTCAAACGGCGGTGGTGGAGTGTTGGCTGGTAGCGAAGGGAACGCCGCTGGCTTCTGAGGGACATGTGTGGGCTCAGGTTCGGGTTCAGAAGCTGCTGCGCGCTGAGAGGTCCTGCTAGGGCGCATGGCGAAGTCGCGTACTACTGGCGCTGCTTGGGGCTGCTGTTCGTCGCCAGAGCGTTTCTTTACGTACTTGATGTTTGCCATTTTGCGACTCTCTTGGGAGTTTGGTGGATTGCTTGCGCTTGTTGGCGCGGGGTGGGGTGCGTTGGACATGAAGAGCGGCGAAAATGGGTGTGGTGTGAGATAAACGTCGTCGTTAGTGAAAGACGAAGATCTAAGTGAGTCTGGGTTCGGGGCCGGCGTATTTGTGCGCGAAGGTCCTTGGGAGTGGGTTTCCTCATCTTGGTCGCTCAGGTCTGTACCTTGGTCGCTAGAAGCTGGTTCTGGGGCAGTGGACTCTTCGTCAGCGGTGGACCTGTAGCGTGCAGGCTTTTTCAATTTGGCTAGATCTCGGAGGCTATAAGGCATATCGTGAACTTTAGAATGATGTGAGCGATGATTGGGTATCGATGCGTTCTAGCCCGTTGTGAACGAAGAAGATGAGGGATATTGGTAAGTGGTGACCGTAGAGTTCACCGCATCCACCATGTTTGGGCCTTTATGACACCGCATCGTGACTGCTACGCGTCTAGCGTGCAATAGCAGCCCTGTCAATACAAAGTGAAAGTCAGCGGCCATCATGGGGGCGGTACTGCCAGGGTCAAACAATATTGCAAGAGCCACAGCCACGTGCGAACACAGTGACTCTTAAAGATAAGGCAGCCACTAGGCGCTGTAATGATTCGCTAACATCTCGACCTGCGAGTGGAGAAGAGCAGTAATAGTCAATGATTTCTTTGGGAAATGATATCGGAGCGAGATGCTTCACCATGGAAGACATTCGTCTCTGCTGGTGCGTCCATGGTTGTCGCAGATGAACCTGTTTGCCCGATGATTAACACTGGTTCAACTGGCGAGCCAAGGGAAGGTGCCATACCTACCTAGGTAGCTACCTGTTCGGGGTGTCACGATGCAGACGCATAATTGACGACCTTGGAAGTGACTGTACACAGTCTGAAGTAGGAGGACAGGCATGAGTTGCAGAGCGCAAAGTGGTGTGAAGGCGCAAGGGCCGTGTATGATGAAAATTTGGACCCGTTGGTGTCGCTACCAGATACTACGGGCAGCCTGAATGGAAGGAGCAACCAACCCACGTATCCACTCATCTCATCAGAGCTCCAGAATTAACTCACACGTAACCAACCTTTCAGATGCAGACGCATCGCCATATAACGCCTTGAGATATGCAGGGTATAATGCTACTGGAACGCCTAACAAACAAATCAATAGAATCGCCGAAGCCAGGAGCCTACACCTAGCGATCCTGGAAGGGAGTGACATCACGCCCTGCAAATCGTAGCGCGTCTGACTCGTCCATACCACTGTCCATGTCCGTGTCTTCATCGTGGTCCTGCATGTCTTGGACGCTACGCTTGTGCTTGAGTGACGGGACAGGAAGCGAGAACGATCCGGCGAAACCGTGGCCGAGACCATTTTGCTGGGTCGCTTGAGCGTTCGAAGTGGCGATAGAGCGTCGTGCACCGATGATGTCCCAGTAAGCGCGCAGGATGTTCTTCAAGACGTCGTCGAAGTTGACGCAGAAGCGCTGCGCTTGGCAGACCTGCATAGCCTTGATGTAGTCAATGTCGTGGAGCGTCTGCATCAGGTAGGCTGCAACGACTGCAGCCGACTTCTCATTCCCCGATTCACAAAAGACCAGGACTTTGCCGAGAGTGGCTTGTCCTGTCGTCTCCAAGCTATGTTGTCGTACTCGTGCGACATGTGAATTGATGAGCCTCGCTGCTTCCGGGAACTGTGGTGTGAGGCTGTAGAAGCTGGGCGCCTCGATGCTGCCCACCTCCATGCAGACCTGGGAAGCCGCATTCGTCGCGCCCATCATGCTCTTAGCCTGCGCACGGATAGCCAGCACCATGGTGATGCCCTCGCGCTCTAGGAAGTCCTTGTCCCTGGCTGCCACCATGGGCCCGAGATAGACCCAGGGCAAGATCATTTGCGCCTCTCTCCGCCGCTCATAGGCCCATTCCAGCAGTGTGTTCTTCTGTATGATGTCCTCGAGGTCCAGCTCATTCAAGAAGCTCATGTCAGCATCCCCTCCAGATGCGCCACCGAGGGAGAGGCCGGGCATATCGGTGGTGAGGGTAGGCGGGGGAACCACGATACGCGGGGCTGTCGGGAGTCGGTACGAGTACTCGTGTTGGCTGCGCAAGAGTCCATTTGGAGTGTCGGACAGGGTTCTTTCTTCGCGAACTGTCGCCATGGTCATCGTGTAGGACGGGTCGAGATTCGTTGGTGGGGTTGCGTTGTGGTTTTCGATAATGGGGATGCGGATGTGTCGGTGGATGGAGGGCGACGAGAAGGTTCTGACGATTGCGCGTCACGAGAATTGCTTCTGACACAGTTGGGCGTGAAAGGTGCCAGGGTACTGTGAGCTTATATCGCGCGTTGAGGCAGGCGCAGGCAGCAACGCGCTTAGCAGAAAAGGAACTCGGACGAAACCAGATACGCGATGTCTTATACGTGTCTGAGCGAATTCGGAATGGGAGAGGTAGGTGATTTGGGACTATGAGAAACACATTTCATTGCGAGCTGCGTCTGGCCGACTGTGTTTCGCTCGTGGTGAGAGCGCGCCACCGCGCCTTCTCGTGCAACCGCGGCAGTGCTAGCCAAAAGGAGGGATATCCTCGACGTCGCTGACGTAATCTTCCCCGCTACCCACGGTTTCCCCCAGCACCGAAACCCAATACATGAGCGAGCCTGATCTTGAGCTAAATTTCCCCTGAAACATTCAGTCGTCCTTCTGACGGATGACTTGAGTCAGATACTTATGAACGCATTCGACAGTCTAAACGAATACCTGATAATATTACTGTAGTCAACAGATCTGAACAACATAGGGTACAGTATCATACAACAGCTCTTACTATATACATCTCCCACTGGAGCTCCATATTCCAACACTCTACACGATAGCAGCATACTCTAACGAGTGAAAGCTTAAGACTCTAAAAAAAATAAATTCCAACACTCTAGTTCCTCTGCGGCCACGCATCAACCAACCCCTCATAAACCGTCACATCACCAAACCTCACCTCCCCACCCTCCACAAAGAAACTAACATCCGTACTATCCCCATACCAACTCCTCACCCAAGTACTAACTGCAAACCTATCATTCGCATGCACCTCAACAACACCACCGTCAACCACAATCGTCAAATCCAGCGTCTCAACCATGGTCTCGTTTCCATGTCCGCCCGCAACATCAAACAAACGGAACTTGCCCGATTCATTGTCCGTGGGGATACCGTTTGTAGTCTGTGCCGCGGCAGAAGAGTTCGAACGGTCGATGATCATGCTTTCGTTGCTGAATTGGTAGTAGATGTTTGTGGATTCTTGGGCTCCGGAGAGGATGGTGAAGCCCGCACGTACGTCGTCAGAGCGAGAGGGGAAGGTGATTGAGGCAGTCATCATCCAGTGCTTTGACTTTGGGCTTTCGGTGAATTTCGTTGCGTTTGCCATGGGTCCGCCGGATTGGGTTATGACATTCGTGGCATTGTCTTTGAATGCGGCGTACGGTTCCCGGGCGATCTTCTGGTGGAGGGTCGCGAGCGTGACGGTGCCGTTGTCGTTTTCGCAATCTACTCTCCATGCACCTTGCTCGCGGGAGAGCTCGTTGTCGATGACGTTTAGGTGGCCGACGCTGAGTTCACGGGGGAGGAGTAGAGATCCTGTCCAGTTTTGCTGGGGAGTTGGGAACTCATCGGTTAAGGTGCCGTAGAAGTCGCCTGTTAGCCAGAGGTATGTGATGAAGCGATCCGGAGAGCCGCTAGCTTTGCTAGCTTGTGAGTCTGCAGGAAGGACTTTACCAGCAGCAGCGTACGCAGATCGTCCGGCATCGAGTCGCCCAGCCATCGTAGGTTCAAACGTCAGTTTACCGTCTACGAGCTCCTGCTTTCCGGCAACCCAGAGCATCTCCCTGTTATCCGAGACTTGAGGTACAATAGGTTCGTAACTCCATTCCGCACCGATTGTAACAAAGATCTCGCCTTCCGGGTTAGCACCCTGCTCGTCCAAAGCAAAGTAGTTGGCGACTTCAAAGTTGTAGCCCCAGCGTCCAGCCCAACCCTCATCCGTCCAGGTCGAATTCGCCGCTTCATGCCACCACTCGCCCAAGTACTCCCAGGTTTGGAACAAATCTCTGTCTTCGTCGTCGTATTGAGCGTACAAAAAGAGGCTCGGTCCTTTTCCGTGCACGCCACCCGAGATAACGGTATACCACGTTCCATCGCGCTTGCCCAATAAGCCATCAACCTGCGAGTTCTGGAACACAAATGGATCGCGGAAACCGGTGACGTTGACAGCAAACGGTGGGTCAGGGATGACAGGACCGAACTCTGATTTTGTGAAGTTACGTCCACCATCCGTAGCAAAAGCAAGTGACTGTGTCTCGCTTCCTTTGGTATACCGGATCGTCCATTGGATTGGTAAGAAGCTGACGCTGGTGTACAGTAAAGTTGGTGTGCCGTTGACTCCCCTCTCAATCACGCTGCCGTCGAAGACAGCAACGGGGTCGTTGATGCCGCCAGCGCGGATGAACGGCTCGGAGTTGGGGCTCAGGTCGTTGTATGTGACCAAATCGTCTGTAGTCGCGCCTGATGCACCCAGATGCAGGTATCCCACGTGGAAGAGGCCGGTTTCAGGGTCCGTGTAGTGCATACACGGGTCTCCGATCTGTCCAAACGCTGGGAGAACGTGGGCCTTCGGTCGCCATGTGTCGAATAGCGACGCATTAGCTAGAGTGGAGAGATTCGGCGGAGCAGCATTGTAATCAATGGATTCTTGACGAGGAATGATATGGCTTGCTGTTAGTGCTGCAAGAGACACCAAGACAGGAGATGAGCGCCTCATGATTGTAGGAAACTGAGAGATGACTGAGGTACTTCCGCACGATGCCAACCTGCGATGCCATTTTTATTTCTACAGTCAGATCCATTCTTGCTCCGTCCCCCGATTACCCGCAAATGACGACGATAGTAAGAAAGCGCGCAAAAGCTCCCCCGCAAAAGCACCGGGAGATTACTCGGCTCAACTTGTCATCTCGCTGATTGGTTGGAAAGGTTCGGAGTCTCGCTAGCGAGTAATGTAGGAACCTGTCGGACCGAGAATCGGCTTGGTAGCACCGCGACGCGTCGTGACGCATCGGCTACCATCTTGACGACGGACGCGTCGGAACAGGTTGTGCGAGATACGAGTGTCGGTTGATGCTTGGGCAGATTCGCCCTTACGAGGCAGCATGTTCCTGCTTCTGCTTCGGAAACATGAAGAGAATATCTCCACCTTCAACTCCGGCATTCTTGAGCGGGTTGCCCTCTCCTTCTGTGCAGTTTCCGATTATCTCATCATATCCACAGCGTAGGTAGAAGCGCTCGTTCCCTTTGCTAGCCACGACACTTGCATGGAGGTCTTCTTCTCTTGCGCGGTCCAGCCCCCAGCTGACCAGTTCTCGCCCGAGCGATTTGCCAGCATAGTCTGGATGAACACCGAGGATGTCGAGATACCAGTTGTTTCTGCGGTCGCCATCCCAGTGGTGCTTGAAGTAGGGCATAGTTTCCTCCAAGATGTTGCGATTGGTGGGATCAAGAGCGCGATTTGTTGTTGAGGGGAGAGGCTGGAACGCATCCGGTCCTGTATGTATGTTAGCATAGGTACCAGTTAATTCAGGACAACTGGAAATACTTACCGACATCAACCCACTCGCTCTCCACCTTGCGCTTTCCCTCGTCATCACCCTGTCTATTCCAGATAGCTGCGCCAGCAATTTTTTCTTTCCCATCTACCGTCGTTGTTGCAACAAAAAGTATTTCGCTGGGTGTCTTCCAGTGCTCCCGCAGGTACTCGGACCAGAATATCTTGACATCGTCTGGGTACTGATTACGGTGAGGATGCAGGGTCTGGCCAAAAAGCGATTCATCAAAGAATGCTTTGGCCAGGAGAGATGCCATGGCAGGCTCATCGGCCGGTGTTGCCGGGCGGATGGTCATTGGGTGAGGGGTACTCAGGTATGGTGGGGGAGGCGCGAGTAGCAGAAGGAAGGCACCTTCTCAGATATATAAATCCACGAAGCACTGCGCCACGAACTTGCGAATAGTGCGGGTTGCCTTGAAACGTATGAGGAAGAAGAGTGTCTTGTTAGAGAGGTCGCGAAGTGCTCAGCTACGCAGGTCCCAGGATATAGTTTGTTAGTAGAACCCGAAGCAACGGTCTTCAAAGTCATTGGTAGAACAGAGGATTGCATTCGATCTAGCCTAAGGTAAAATAAGTCGTACGCTTGATGCGCTGTAAGAAAACTTCTATTCCTTATATGGTGTGCATGCAAAAAAGAAGTCATTCAAGACTGGGTCCTTCCAAAACACAAAAAAAGAAGTGATGGGTCTTACCGCGACTCGAACGCGGGGCCTCTCGCAAGCTGTGCTTGGGTTTACCCCTAGGAATTGTTAGAATTGAAGGGAGCGAATTATATTCAGTGCGACTTACTAAGCGAGAATCATACCACTAGACCTGGTGATTGTTAGATGGTGTTGATGCTGAATGGTGTGGTGATGTGGGCTCACCATAAGACCGTAACACGTGATTTGATGGCGAATTGAGGAATTAGATACAATATATCCTCATTTAAAAACAGCTGAAGCAGGACTAAAGCGCTGGTGAGGTTAGAGCGCTCACGATGCTCCACCATTAGCGAACCCTCGAGAACATGAGTCCCACTCCGAACTCCGAAAGTGGAGAACAAGCCTGGGCTAATAAGGCTAGAATTGCGCCCTTCAAGAGCAACATCTTGAAGGCAGGTTCGTATTTCAAGTAAGCGGAGACGTGTTGCAATCAAGCTTGGTACCCGTGGACATCTACTACACCTGCGATCCTCACGGCATCTTCAAAAACCTCATTATCCCTCCGCAGCACAAGGACCCACATACACCGACATGCCTGAGCTTCCGAACATTCAAATCCGCGACGCCGAATTCCCCGCCGACAAGCAGGTGGTGGGGCAGCTGTTCAAGGCGTACGCGGAGTCATTGCCCATCAGCCTCGACTTTCAAAATTTTGACCACGAATTGGCGGAACTACCTGGCAAATACGCACTTGAAAAGGGAGGGGCTGTCTGGCTACTGGTCTCCTCGGCAGGAGACGGGGAAAGGCAGGAAAGCACCGCCGGCTTCAGCACCACAAGAGAGAACGAGCGAGCCATAGGGTGCATAGCCATCCGACCCTTCTTCGCGACGCCCACCACGGCTGAATCCGCAGCACTACTAGCACAATCGACATCACCACCCACCAAGACATGCGAGCTCAAGCGCTTGTTTCTCGCGCCAGAAACGCGGGGAATGCGTCTCAGCAAGCCATTGATGGAAATTGCGCTCTCGCATGCGAAGAAGCTGGGTTATGAAGAGATGCTGCTCGATACACTACGCAGCATGAAGACTGCAAGAAAGCTGTATGAGGGATACGGGTTTGAGGAGATTGATAGCTATTACGAGAACCCAGAGGACGCAGTATTCTATCGCCTGAAGCTCTAATGTCGCGTTGGCCGGATTGTAGTCGCGTCGCGGGACGGGTGGACAAAAGTAATTAAAGTTCAGGCGTGATCGCGCGTCGAGAACATCGTCATCGATTTTCCACTTAGCGCGTCCCCTTCATCACGACCGCGTTCCACTGCATGCGGTCATCACCACATACCCCTGGCGCTAGATACAATACCATCGTTCCCATTGATCCTGTTCTTAAGCAATACTTCTCATCGTACGCGACATGACCGTTTCCCCCGTTACGAGCGCAATGTCTGGATCGCATTCTACACCCGCTTCATCGCCACCACCAGCCGACATGGATTCAGAGAGTGTACCGCAGTCGATGCAGCGGGAGGAGAAGCGCATGAGAATGCAACGCGAAAAAGATGACGCGAAACGCGAAGCACAACTAGAGATGGAGAGGCAAGAAGACATCAAGAGCGGCAGGGAGGTACTCGACAAGAAGTTCCAGCAATTGGAGTTCTTGATGAACAAGAGCAAGGTCAGTTCATTTCTGAGACAGCATGCTATGCTGCTTTGAACAATCGCTAACGTATAGCAGCTGTATGCATCGGTCATGCTTGCGCAGATGCAGCAGCAAGAAGAACAAGAGCACGAGCAAGACGAGAAGACGAACGGACAGACTTCGAAGCGCGAACAAATCGCCGATACAACAGCAGCAGCATCGCAGCGGCGAGCTACGCGCGGATCCACGGCCAATGGCGCGACAACGGCGAAGCAGGAGGAAGAGGATGCGACACCAAAGAAACGCGCGGGCAGACCAAAGAAGACAGACACCAAGGGCCGTGGTAGACCCAAGAAGCAGACTTCGGACATAGCAAGCTACTTCAGCAAGGCTGATTTAGAAAAGAAGGCAGGTAATCAGGACGTTGGAGAGGCCTTGAAAGAAGCAGCAGAGGACGACAAAGACAATGTCAAAACAGGCGACATTGGCATGACAGACCTCAAGTCTGCGCGGCAGCCGAAACTTGTCACTGGAGGTACAATGAGATCATACCAACTCGAGGGCCTCGAATGGATGGTGTCACTCTACAACAACGGCATCAATGGCATTCTGGCAGACGAGATGGGTCTGGGCAAGACCATCCAGACAATCGCTATGCTCGCACATCTATGGGAGAACAAGTCGTACGGGCCATTCCTGATCGCCGCGCCGCTCAGCACCACAAGTAATTGGGTCGCAGAGTTTGAGAAATGGACACCCAGCATGCCGGTCATGCTATACCATGGTGATAAGAAGGAGCGCGAAAGGCTGCGCAAGACTAGGCTACGGAACCCCGGTACCGCCGACTTCCCTATCATGGTCACCAGCTACGAGATCTGCATGAACGATCGCAAGTACCTCACCAGTTTTGGCTGGCAGTTCATCATCATCGACGAAGGACATCGCATCAAGAATCTTGACTGCCGGCTTATTCGCGAATTGCAACAGTTCCAGTCCGCAAACCGACTCCTCATCACCGGTACGCCATTGCAGAACAATCTTGTGGAGCTGTGGTCGCTGCTGCATTTCCTTCTGCCCACGGTATTCGATAAGTTGTCCACATTTGAGAGCTGGTTCGACTTCTCTGGGCTGAAAGACAAATCGAGCTTCGAACAACTGTTATCAGAAGAGCGACAGCAGTATCTGGTCAAGTCACTGCATGCTGTTTTGAAGCCATTCTTGCTGCGAAGAGTCAAGACGGACGTCGAAAGCTTGATGCCCAAGAAACGCGAATATGTGTTGTACGCCCCGTTGACTTCCATGCAACGCGAGCTGTACCAGGCGATTCTTGATGGCACTAGTCGATCCTACCTCGAAGAAAAGGCTGTTGAACGATTGAGCATTGGTCTAAGCAGTCGAGCAGGAACGCCATTGAGTATCCGCAGTAACAACGGTAGTCTCAAACGTAAGGCTTTGAGTAACAGGGAGACACCAAGCAAGAGCGCGAAGACGTCTCGAGCAGGTACGCCCGCATCTGTCGCCTCAACGAGAAGCCGAGGCCGGCCCAAGAAGAACTATGAAGAAGTGAGCGATGATGAGTACTTCGATGGTCTAGACAAGGAAGAATCCGAGGAAGAAGAACAAGACCTGAGCTCTGATGCTGAAGACGAGAGAACTCGAGCTGCGACTTTCGAAATCGCAAAGCGTCAGCTCATGCAGAAGAAGCTTGGTAACCCCATCATGCAGCTCCGACTGTGCTGCAACTCGCCATACAACTTCTTCAATCCTTTCATACGAGCAGACACTGACGGAGCCGAAACCTTCGCATCGGAGACAGAACCCGATGAGACTATCGTGTCAACTTCTGGCAAGATGCTCCTCCTCGATGCACTTCTCCCTGAGCTGATACGGCGCGGCCACAAGGTCCTGATCTTTTCTCAATTTACCACCACTCTAGATCTTCTCGGTCACTATCTCGACCTACGATCCTGGAACTACGCTCGTATCGATGGATCTGTCGCACAAACAGACCGTCAAGACCAGATCCTAGCCTTCAACAAGCCATCTACCACAAAGGAGGCTGCGGACATTTTCATCCTTTCCACCCGCGCCGGCGGCCAAGGCATCAACCTTGCAGCAGCGGATACAGTCATCCTCTTCGACAGCGACTGGAACCCTCAACAAGACCTCCAAGCCATGGACCGCGCGCATCGCATCGGTCAAACCCGCAACGTCATCGTCTACCGCTTCGCAACGCGCAACACAGTCGAGCAGAAATTGCTTGAATCTGCAGAAGCAAAGCGTCGGCTTGAAAAGCTTGTCATTAGAAAGGGTGGTGTGCGGAATGACCGGGGCGGGACTCGGGGTAATGAGAAGGAGCAAGAGGTTGAGGAATTACAGAAGCTTCTCAGGAGAAGCGATGGAGAAAAGTTTGATGTCGAGGCTACGGAAAGTGGGAAGGTGTTGGGGAAGGAGGAGTTGGAGATTCTGTTGGATAGGAGTGATGAGGCGTATGAGAGGGCGGAGAAGGGATTGGATATTGGTGGTGAGGGTGCTGTCTTTCAGGCTGTGGGGAAGAGAGAGGAAGGTGCTCTCATGGAGGGACTGAGAGCGTAGTCTAGTTAGGAAGCTTTGCAACATTGAATACCCAGCATGTTTACAACAAGATCACGGCTTATTATCGCGTGGTGCTGTGACTTGGATGGTTGATCGACAGTGGCTCGACGTCCCATTTGATGCCTGCTAGGCATATTCGGGCAGGCATCGCCAACGACTCAAAGGAACTATACGTTGTTTCAAGGACCTAGTGTGCATGTCTCTATGCCACGGGTAGTGTGCCTCCAGATGAGTGATGCCCGTACGCGACTTTGATGGTGGATCCTCGGGTGGCTGGGTGGCTGCTTCCTCCCTTGCAGGTCAACGCGTCATGGGCGCGTTGCGATTCCCCGCTTTGCAGCCCTTCTGTTGTCCTCATACCAAACCTCGGATTTACGACTGAGATCGAACGATGGGGTATTTTCTGTGCCGTGCG